AAGCTGAAGACTACAGTTCCCAGAAGGCAATGCTCCTTCAATCGGCCTTTCTCTACGCTAGTGGAAGGATGTATTCTGGAGTTTGTAGTCTCCCAAAACGTAGGCCTGGGTTGACTCCCTTTATTGCTTGACTCAGCGGCCTGCGCGTTCCCCACTCCCCATCCCGTCTTCAAAGAGACCCAGAATGAACAGCTGAACACGTCACAGGGGAATTTATCATAAAGGCCCTGAGCTCAAAAGTGCATACTCACCTAATAGGGGTATAGGAATCTAAACCTGGTGTGGGGAATGCTGAACAGCCACTTGCTGGCGCATCTTTATTCACTCAACATTCATGGAGCCCTGAATCTTTCTGTATCCTAGCCCCGGATTAGGGTAGTCCCTAGCCTCGTAAATGAGTGCAGGACCCAGTTCCAGGACATGGTGGCGGGCTGGCAGAGAGGAGCCAGGAAAAACTTCCATCCATGTCTTGAAGTCAGACCCACACTCTCCGAGTTGGGGGTGAGAATGTCCGTGCGGGGGGAGGGCTCGATGCCCGGACCTGACGCCTCCGCCAAACCCACCTTCTGAGCGGTAGCCACCCCACCTCCTGGCCGCCTCCACCGAGCTGGCCTCGCGGTGGCGCTGCTACTCCTGGAATGTTCTAGCTTACAGTCGGGCCAGCCCAGCAGCGTCCCAGCTGGAAGATTTAAACAAGACAGTAATTAAATGGAACTAGGCATAAAGCGAGACCGGCAGCCCCATTATATGGTTTACAAAAGAGAGCTGACTCATCTCAGCTTAGGACCCAGCACTGGGCGGCGTCCACTGGGCAGCTGTAGTTATTATGTAAACTACCCCCACCTCTGAGTGGATCTTAAGGAGGAATCAGGGGGGTCTCACTCCTCACGTGGCGGTGCGTCATTAATCTTACAGGATCAGAGTTTGATTTTATTTATTTTTTTTAAGGTTTATTTTTGAGAGAGAGAGAGAGAGAGAGAGATAGAATCCCAAGCAGGCCCCGCGCTGTCCGCATAGAACCTGATTGCCAGGCTTGATCCCATGAATTGTGAGATCATGACCCGAGCCAAAATCAGGTGTTGGAAGCTCAACTGACTGAGCCACCGAGGTGCCCCTGGCCTTCTGTGAAGACTTGTGCAGAAGCAGGTGGGACTTTGCAGGACACGTGCATGATTCACTGCATGATGGACATGATATACTCTGCCCTAGTAGTTAAATTAATTTTGGCACATACAGTCTATGCAGCTGTTTGAAAAAAAAAAAAAAATTGAAGACAAATTCTATGTGCAGATACAGAAAGATTGCCAGTTTGTTAAGTACAAACTGGTGTATAATCACTTCTCAGCCTTTTGGCTAAGGTCAAGTGTAAGTACAAACTGGGTGTGTAAATATGCTTCAAAAAAAAAAAAAAAAAAAAAAAAAAAAAAAAAGCTCTGCTTGTATTTAAATTAGGATCTAGATCTAGATCTAAAATTTCTGGAAAGAACCACCGGGCATTGTTTTTGGATTACCCCACTGAGGCATGGGTCTGGGGAATTGGGCAGGCTGGTGACTCTGTGCATTTGTTGTCTACTTCCTTGTAATGTTTAATTGTTTGTTGTGCACATTCTAAATATTAATAACAAATTTCAAAAAGAAAGTGAAATCCACCCAGTAAAGGGTATGCAAGAATGGCAGCTTTGAGGACCATAAAAGGGAAGGTGGGGAACCAGTACAGTCCCATCCCCCCACCCTTTGCGGAACTTGATTGGTCACAGAGGTAATTGGAGGTTTTTGGGGCCTAAAGCTTTTGGAGGCCTTGCTTAAAGAACTAAAATACACAATCCTGAAAACACAGTATGTGGCCATGGTTAGGCCTCTGGACAGGAGAGGAAATGTGTTGAAGAGGAAGTCAGAGTGGAGAAGAGATAGCAGGCCTAGTTGAGTCCAGCTTCAATGTTTGGCTTATCCAAATTTAATGAAAACATATGACCACGAGGCGCCCAGCTGGCTTGGTCAGTAGCGCGTGCGACGCTTGGTTCTCGGGGTTGTGAATTCGAGTCCCACGTTAGGTGTGGAGATTGCTTAGAAACAAAATCTTTAAAAATAAATAAAATACTTAAAAATAATAATAATAAAATAAATGCATGACATATGAACATAGTGTTAGAATCTCCCAACTGTGAAAGGGGCCAGTGGTTTCCAGCACCCATGCTGGGGGGCTCGAGGGCAATTCATTGCTGAACCAAGTCAGCAGCAAAGTGCCCCGTGTCTGGGCCCAAGTCTCAGAACTCAGACTTCTGCCTTCGAGTCCACACAAGCTCTGCTTGTTTCCAGAAATGATCGCTCTTTGCTGAGCTGTAATCCCTCCTGATCTCCAGCGAGGAGGAGCTTTTTTTCTCCCCCCCAGAGGGAAGCTTCTTGAGTGGTGCGCTAAGCTAGGGCCCAAGTATGCCTGCCATACTGCTCCCTTCGCCCCAGGACAACCCCGTGGTGGCCGGTCACCTCTGAAGGCCCAGAAAGCATCATGCAGTTGCCCTAGTGAGCAGGACAGATCCTATTTGTTCTGAATAAATAATCATTCTCTATACGTCCCACGACATTACAAAGTTTGGGGAGCAGTTTACCAGATGGTGGTTT